CAGGACAATGTTATCTGCCTGTGCAGATACCTCGTAAACTCAAATTTAGCTCTCAATCATGCCGAGGTCTTACGTGTGACCACGTGAGTGTTTTGATGCGAAAGTCACTAACTTGGGAGTCGAAAAACTAGGAGGTTGAAATTTGGGAGATTGTTCCCTGTCCAAGGTTTCAAATTCAACTTTCATTTACCGGCAGATCTCAGTAGGAAATTCCCTCGTTTAAGAACCAGATAGCATATCAACTATTGGTCCACACACGAAAGTGTAAAACAGTTATGTTTTTAGCAGGCAAACATCCACTGGACAGGACTGCGCAAAACTCATGATCGCACCGGTTACCTTGGTGCGCGCCTCTGTTTTTTTTTGTTTAGGTGACTTGTTGAGAATCGTTCAAACAGTGAGTAGGAGTATTTTCAGTTTCAAGGGTTTCGCGCCGAAGAAAATCGATGAAGTGCTGAAGACTGAGGAATACAATGAGCACTTTTGCAAGCTTGTGGAATGGATGTGCAATGAAATCTCAGCACTGTACGGCCTCGACGAAACAGTCCATGCGCCAACGGCACCTGATAACGTCGAATTTTTCCTGCTTGAGCTCAGTTCGGTGCTCTCTGAATTGGGTATGCATTTTATTGGCTTCATATAAGAATATTGGTGCCTTTAAGAGCTGTTTTACTGTCACATTTTTAATACATACGTGGATAATTATGAATGTTGTAGTAGAATTGCTGGTAGTTGGGATAAGCTGTGGTACAAGCATAGTACCCAAAGAATAAATAGCCGACACACCAGGCAGCCAGTGCATGCGTTTTTTCAGTATTTGCGTTTTTGCAGATCATGCGTTTTTGCAGTATTTCGTGCTGGGAGTTCCAGTAGCTAGATTTTGTGGCCTACCGGTCCTCGGAGTTCAAAAAGTTAACTATGCAACTACGCGTCACTTGGACTGGCAAAATTCCCTCAGAATTTCAGCCTCCCAGCTTTTCTGGTTTCCGAGTTAGCGGTTTCCCCGCCAAAACTTTCACTTGCTCGCACGCGGGCCCCAGGCATGCGTGAGAGTTGGAGTGGCACTTGGCCAGGAAACCCAATGGCAAAATTTTGATGCCGGAGCTTGCTTGGTTGCCGATTTGAAATACCTGGACAGACATACACACACACATATGAACATACACACACACACACACCATGGATCGTCACTACATCCGTTTTTGCATTTGCATATAAGCAGAAACGCATAAAAATGGGGGATTGATCGGCAACACTAGCTGATTAATGATGTAGTTTGGATCGCAGTATTGATGTTGCCAGCTGCATTGATGAGATGAATATGCGCTGCAGTGAAATAACGGAACAGAGTGTTAAGATGAGGACTTGGCGAAGTTATTATTAAGTTTTCTATCAGCACGGATCAGTAAATCTTGCACATTGCATCGTTTTGCAGAGTGCCCGGTGCATGCACTTACACTTGGACCGGTGATGGAAAGATTTCGGTCTGCAGAGAATCGTACCAAATTGCTGCACTTTCTTCTTGATCACCTGAAATGTGCCCGTCTGACTGCTTTGGAACGCCTGTACAACGATGCTGCAGGAACGGTTAGTTAAAATATCTCAAAAATGTTGTAATACTTCCGAAGAAATTTGAAAAAATTTGGAATAGAGAAG